GGGGGGGGGGGGGGCGGCGCGTGCGAGAGCTGAGGACACTCTCCCGAGCCAGGTCTCGTGGCCTCGTTCTCGCTTGTTACGTAACCCGGCTGCCCGTGTGGGACTTTCTGTATTGATCTTCCAATGCTCTTGCCCCTCCAGGCAGCGTTTACAGGCCCCCAGTGTGGCCAGACGCCAGTTCCTGTGAGGAGCTCTGTTCTTTCTGTAAAATGCACTAAATTCAATCTGTGCTTTCACACAGCCTCTGATTTTACTTATTTTTAATGTTTTTATTGACTTTTTTAGAGAGAGAGGTAGGGAGAGGGACAGAGAGATAGAAACATGGATGAGAAAGAGAATCATTGATCAGCTGCCTCCTGCACGTCCCACACTGGGGATCAAGCCCTAAACCCAGGCATGTTCGACCGGGAATCGAACCGTGACCTGTTGGCTCATGGGTCTACGCTCGACCACTGAGCCACGCCGGCCGGGCAGTAGCCTCTGATTTTAAAAATCAAAGTGTCTCCCGTTCAGATTTATGATGATGTCTCGTAGGTGTTGTTACAGTTCAGGCTGATGTTTTGTAATTGTATTTGCTGGTGACACATGACACATGCACACGTCAGGTGCGTCAGTATTTGTCTCCCTGCCCTCCTCTCCCCAGGGGCAGCTGGTGTCCCACCAAACGCGTGTGACTGAGGGGACCCCGGGCCTTGCCTGTGCCGGGCACGGAGGTGCTGACCAGCCGGGGTAACCGTCACCATAGAAACAGCTGGCGGGAGAGCAGCAGAGCCGCGTCTCCCAGGTGTTGGCTTCAGTTATGCTGAAGAGGACGCCGTGGATTGTCCCTGTCTGTCATGAGGACTGTGGAAAGCTGAGCCATTAAAGCACCACTTGTGATGTGGGGTGCCTTTCCCTGGGGTTTGTTTGATTTGGGGTTCGTTGTGGTGCTGCTCACAGTTCTAATCCCCATCAAGCACTGTTGGCTAGCTCCCCTAAGACTCTCCCCCCCTTCCTTCCTCCTTCCCCATCTCCCTCTCCCTCCCCCGCCCTCCTTCCTTTGCTTAAAGGCCTGTACCCGGGTAGATGAGCACTCCGTGAAGCAGCTCTGTCCTTGGGGAGGTGAGCTTCATGCCTCCAGCCGCCAGAGGTGCAGCCGGGGCCTCCCGGAGCCCTTGGCCGGCCGCTGCTTGTGCCAGTGCCTCACCAAGCTCACTGTCGTCAGCAGGTGGGAGGGGCTCTGACACCAGCAGTGCGGGTGGGACTCCCGGAGGTGGCCAGGCCTGAACAGTCGTGCCATTCAAACGCCGTGTTTAAAAGGTTTTAGGGCACATTTCACACATCTCAGAAAACGCTTTGTGAATGGGGTGTGTTGTTTGCCAGTACTACTGAGGGGAGTGCCCGTCTGACACTGAGGAGGATGTTTGAATGTGTGACTTTTTAAAAAATCCAGAAACTTGGGGAATCGAAGATGGCGGCATAGGTAAACACCGGAGACTGCCGCCGTGGACAACCACTTCAAAAATACAACTAAAAGTCAGAGCGGACATCAACCAGAACCACGGGAAGGCTGGCTGAGGAGAGTCTCTTCAACTAGAAGCAAAAACAACAGCATTCCGACGCTCAGCGGGGGCGCAGTGTGGAAAATTTAAAGGTACGGCGGGTGTGGTGGTGAGGGTGCGCGCGCAGAGCGGGCTGGCGGCTGAGGGCGCGATTGTCGTTTTCAATCAGGAGCGAGTCTCAGACTCTGGGCTACAGATCCGGGCGAGTCTCTAGGGACCCAGACTCAAACGGGAGAAGCGGGACTGTCTGGCTACGGCCCCTCCGAGGTTTGCAGCGGTTGCTGGAACAGAGAGGCAGAGCCCCGGGAGACGGACTGAGAGCAGCCATAGCTGCTCCCTCCCCCCGCCCTGTTGAGCCCGCCCCGCCCAGGCCCTGCGCACAGCCATTTGCCGACCGCCTCAGGCAAAGGCTGGACTAGCGCCTCCCCAGAAGACAGACGTTTTCCACAGCTGATTCCTACAGCCAGTCGGCCTGGTGGTCAAATCCCTCTAGTGTTAACTGCAACAATTAAGGCTTGGCTAGAACAAGACTGCGCACAGAGACCACAAGGGGGTGCACCAAGAAAGCATATAAGATGCGGAGACAAAAAAACATGACAGAAATGGAGGATATGGAGCTAAGAATCGCAATTTTGAGGGCTTGCCATAAATTTGTGCAGAGCCTCACGAAAACTAATGAGACCCTCGATGCTACGATAAAGAAATTAGAAAGTAAGCATACACGGACTGAAATAAAGAATATTATACCCAATAGCAGACCAGAGGAGCACAAGAATCAAACCAAAGATTCGACAAAAAACACCCAATTGGAAAAGCAAAATGAAAAAAGAATCCGAAAGTGTGAAGATAGTGTAAGGAGCCTCTGGGACAGCTTTAAGCGGTCTAATATCAGAATTATAGGGGTGCCAGAAGATGAGAGACAGCAAGATATTGAAAACCTATTTCAAGAAATAATGGCAGAAAACTTCCCCCACCTGGAGAAAGAAATGGACTTACAGGTCCAAGAAGCGCAGAGAACCCCAAACAAAAGGAATCCAAAGAGGACCATCATCATTAAAATGCCAAGAGCAAAAGACAAAGAGAAAATCTTAAAAGCAGCAAGAGAAAGAGGCTCAATTACCTACAAGGGAATACCCATACGACTGTCAGCTGATTTCTCAACAGAAACTTTGCAGGCCAGAAGGGAATGGCAAGAAATATTCAAAGTGCTGAATACCAAGAACCTACAACCAAGATTACTTTATCCAGCAAAGCTATCATTCAGAATTGAAGGTCAGATAAAGAGCTTCACAGATAAGGAAAAACTAAAGGAGTTCATCACCGCCAAACCAGTATTATATGAAATGCTGAAAGGTATCCTTTAAGAAGAGGAAGAAGAAGAAAAAGGTAAAGATACAAATTATGAACAACAAATATGCATCTATCAACAAATGAATCTAAGAATCAAGTGAATAAATAACCTGATGTACAGAATGAACTGGTGATTATAATGAATCAGGGACATAGAAAGGGAATGGACTGACTATTCTTAGGGGAAAAGGGGTGTGGGAGATGCGGGAAGTGACTGGACAAAAATCATGCACCTATGGATGAACTCAGTGGGTGGGGAGTGAGGGTGGAGGGTGGGGTGGGAACTGGAAGGAGGGGAGTTATGGGGGGAAAAAAGAGGAACAAATGTAATAATCTGAACAATAAAGATTTAAAAAAAATAAATAAAAATAAAAAAATAAAAACATGTAAAAAAAAAAAATCCAGAAACTTAACAGATTTGAGATTTTAGGAGGTTTAGAATAGATGATGGGTTACATCAACATGCGTAAACATGTGGGTGAATTAAAACCCCGAAATGATGTCCAGAAAAGAAGGAGGATCTTACGTGATTCTGCATGTGATCATCCCCGAGTTA